GTAGCTCCCAAAATAGTTGAGTTGTGCCGTTTCAGTCGCAGCGGGCCAAACCCAGCATCCATGCAGAGCAGTTGGGAAGCTGTTTGGGCAGTGTTCGCTGCTTGCACAACCCTTCCTTGTCTTCTCTGGAGGGATGGAGCCGCTGCACCGCGATGTGACCTATGGGCCACCAAGGGAACTTCACTGCAAAGAGGGTGTGTGACACAGGGTTGCCTGCTCTCCTCTCCCACGGCCCACCCCAAATCACACCTCAATCATGGCAGGGCTTTGCCAGAAGATGGAGGACACACCCCGCAGCAGCACCGCAGCCAAAATCCCCTTGCCCATGCCCGACTCAAGGAAATGCAACTCCTTCCCTTGACTTCCCCCTCGACCTCTCCCTACACGCAAAGCAAGGTCCAGCTGTGGTGTCCGTGCCTCGTCTCAGTGCACGGTGAGCTGTACACACAGGGCTGAGGCTGCCAAATTACTCTACTCTCAGGCAACGCAAGATCTGCAACTTTCAAACAAGTGCTCCAGTGATTATTTCGTTACAGCATCCTGTCAGTTTGGCCCCTCCTGTCATTCCCTTAAGAAAGACTGACTCGGTTAGGAAGGCAGGTTCATTTGTCAGTGGTGTAACAGCTGCAGTTAAATCCAGTTCTCATCCTCGCCACGCAGCTGACCAGCTCGTTCACAGGCCTACCCTGATCGCCCATCCACGATACCATAACTTGCTCCATGCAGTACTCAGCACTGAAAATGGTGATTTCTTTAGAAATATGGATGCATCCCAGAAATTATGAGACAGTTCCTGGGTGGAAAATGCTTTGTTTTCTGATGCTAGACTTCCCTTGTGAACTGCAAAACCCTTTCCTCCTCATCGAGAGGTAAAGGAAACAGTGAAATTGCTTTTTTTTTTCACCTAGATGGGTCTTTGGACGTTGTGAACTACTTCACAGTGTCATTTCTCTGACCCCACCGGCAGCAGGACAGGTCTGGGCAGAATCCATCCCCGACACTGGGGACGGGGGATGCCGGGGGAGTAGCGCTGGGGCTCGGTACAGAGGGAGGGGTGGAGAAACCAACACACGCCATCTCTGCCAGCAGCTCCTGCTCGTGTGTGAGTCAACCGCGGAGCGGGAGGCTCTTGAGAGAACATAAGAAGGAAAGCAGATATTTAAGAAATTAGTCACAAACATAATGGCTTAATCAAGAGCCTGTTGGAGGCAGTTGGGCTCCGTGGGCTGCTCTGGCCACCTGGGCCAAGACGCAGGGGTGAGGGGTCTCGTTCAAGAGCATGGCTGGCTCTCAGCATCCCTGCACCTCTCCCCACCTTGTCCCTCACCAGCACCAAGGAAACCCTCCTGGCATGTACCTGCCCGTGCAGCACCTCTGTCTTCCAGCCCAGGAAACTCATCCAGCTGGAAAATAATGCAGGGAAGGAGAAAAAAAAAAAAAAAGAAAAAAAAAAATCACATTTTGCCCACAGCAAGATCTGATCTCTGCCACTGTCCTCACCAGACCCCGGTACCCTCCCGCAAGGACTGCCAAGAGGATGGAGCAAGTGGTTGGGAGGGAGGGAGGGATGGGAAGTGCTGGTTTGGCTGAAACTCAGCGTGGCTGGAGCTAGCAAGCCCAGAGATGGGTCGCTGGCCTGGGCCGGTGCATCAGAGCAAGGTGTCACACCACCCCGTACTGTGCCGGTACCTGGGCCACCATGCTGAGCCATACAGGCATCACCTTCAGGCCTTCAAAGTGTCCAAAAGAGACAACACGGTGGTGGCCGCCCATCCCTCGCACTGCCTGATGCTCCTTTAGCTGTTGCTGTTTATCATAACAGCAGGTCTTATATGTATTTTTAATGACAACCTGGACATCACTACAGTACAAACCAAGGGAACAGAGGGGTGGGATGCTGAAAACCATTTGCATGTTTATGCTGTTTATATTTGGCAACTGATTAGGTCTTCGGTGCAAAATGGACATTGAAGGTAAGCTAACATCTCCCAAACAGGAAAATAAAGATTATTGCATGAACAGAGAAAATTTGGACTGAATCATCTGAACATAAGAATTCAGGAATACTACTTTGTATTAATAGCTGTCTAATTTCAAGTACAGACTGGACTATAGCCTACTAATAGGTGAGAACAGAGGGCACACTGCTATTGGTAAATCTATTTGAGACATTTCTGCTGAGACATTTTTGCTAGCAGAAACAGTAATTTTTACAAAAAAAACCCCATTTCTCTATTCCATAAAAGAAACTCAGATTTTCCTGAGGGAAGCCAAAATGCTTCAATGCAGCTAAAACTTCATTTTGTTGAAAAATATCTCAGTTGGAAAAGGGGAGGAAGAGATAAGAAGATTTTCCTGGTCCACTCTAGCCATTAGCCACTTTGTTGCTTGATATCTTGATTTCATGACCTCTAATAAAAAGTTAAGCTATGGGACAGGGAAGAGTTCCTGCATGATGAAGTTATTTTTTCTGTCTCTACAAAATGCCTCAATAAATGTTTGGCATAATGCAAGAAGTTCTGATAAGAAATATTGCCAATAAATTCCCAGCTGCATTAGGTTGTAAACATAAAAGACAAGCATTACCAAAAAAAAAAGTAACAATTTATGTTAAGAGCATTCAGAATGGAAAAAGTAGTTGCTGTAAACAAAGCTAGAGGTTTGATTAGATCTTTAGTTTGGTTAGCCCACCTACTTCAATCTGGCTCAGGAACTGAAGGCAGAATCTGGCTTTTTCAGTGTATATCTATCATTTGCATATCAGGTGTATGAAAATGTGCTATCAAACTTAAATTGTTACTTCTCATCTGTTGCCTGAATGCAAACCCTTTGCACAAAGAAGTAAGACTACATGGCCACATTTTCCTTACAGTAAAACAAATGAGAGCAAGGAGGGAATAAAAGCCACCAGCAAAACCCACTCCTTCTGTTTAAAATTATAGATGTAAGCAAAGAGCCCAGGGAGCAGCCCATATTAGGCAAAGTGCACTCTTTTCTTGTAAAAAGTTTGAAGAATTGAAGGTCTGCTGTCCCCACTTACGATCATCGGCGCGCTTGTGTACTGCAAATGAAAACAAGAGAAGATGCGAGGATACTGGAGCAAAAGGAGGGGCTTTAAACTCCTCGCTGTAGGGACTGAGGGGTGGACGGGGCGATGAGACATGCACAGAGGGAAATCACGGGGTCACCCCGGCTTCGGCTTGGTACCCACGGCCGAGCTGGGGTTAGCATCGCCGCTGCACCCGCTCTACAACCAAGAAGGGACCTTTTGGCCGGGATTCCCAGGAGGAGGGGCAGCTGCAGGGAGAACCGCATCCCGGGGGCTTGTCCATGTTGCCCACCTCCGTGCTGCAGGTAGCGGTGGTGGGCCAGGCTCAGCCCCGCAGCCGATGCCGCTTTGCTTGGCAGCCCAGCGAAGAGCAGCCCGCTCTCCTGAGGAGCTGTCAGACAGACTGTGGGCACCAAGACACAGCGCTCTGCCTGCGAAGATAAAATCAAAGCTTGTTTTAGCTCTGAGAGCTTCACCGTACGTGACAGTGCTGGGTAACCTAGCGAGGACATCGCAAGTAATCAAACCTGTTTGAAGCATGATGTAACGCTATACCTGGGTCAGGATCCCAGGTACGATTTCTGCCAGGTCTGCAGCTGAAAATGTGCTTTCTGGTATCTGGTCTCTCTCAAACTTCAGGGATCAGATTGGTTTATGAACCTGCTTATATTAAGAGCAAACAATTCATCACTGCAGATTTTCCGTGGAGTCACCTCGCTATTGTTCCTCTGGCTTCACAGCTACCTGCCCCCGAGAGCTCAAACCTGGACCCACGGCTTCTGGGAGCTGTGCAGCCCGTGGTGACTCCGTGGGTACCTCTCTCTCCTTCTGCCCCCCAGGCACACCTCAAATCTGGCATTTTTAGCCTTTCTTTTTACTTTTCCTGTAATTCTTCCTGCAAGGTGTCTTCAGTCACAAACATTGCATAAAGGGCGCTGGTGCATAACATGAGCAAGGATGGTACACTCTCTGTCCTTTACACACAGTTTTCTTCTTTACATGCCATGGCTTTTGGGTTGGTTACACCCCAATCAGTAAGGTGTGTTTTTTTCCAGATAGACTCGACATACCATACAGTATGTTTAAAATTGCTGCATCAACAAATCAAAGTAAACAACCTTCTCTCCTCTGTGAGATGATGAAAAACATAAATTATGTAGTCTTTAAACAAATGGTAAAGAGTTTCCTTATTAGGCTTCAAGGTCCTGTGTGTGTATATGCCCCTTGTAAAATCCTTGTCATTCCTGGGTCTGTAGGTCTGTATAATGTTCTTCACAGGTTCAATTGAGTGGTCAGCATACCATGCTTGGTCTGGGGGATTTGACATAGACACACACACGCACCCCCATGCATATTTATATATATAAAAATATATATTTATAAACTACAGTGAAAAAATTAAAATTTCTGCTGATTCTTTTGCAGAAATTTTCTTGAAGATGAAAGCTTGCCTTGCTTTTGGAAGGAAATTTCGTCTTCCGTTTGCCTTCCACAGCATTTTCTCCTTTCTTGGCTTGCATAGAAATGTCTCCAATGTTCAGCCTCTTGCTTTACCAGATAAGAAAGACGCAGGCTGGGGACACGACCTTGTCCTTCCCAGCCACGCGAGCTCTAGTCCACCTCCAAGTCCCCTAAACAAGGGACCCAGTCACATCCTCACCCACTACACTTCCCTGCCCACCGCCTTCTCCTGGCCACAGCCACCAAGGCACCTGAAAACCAGGGAAGATCTTGGTTGAAAACTGAAAAAAAGACACAGAAAACACGGAATAAAAATGTATTGGCAGCTTCGCTCAGTCTCTCCGTGGCAAGCTGGGCTGTAGCAGACATCTGGGTGAGCTTCCCAGGGGCAGCGGGTGGGAAGACCCACAAGGTGCTGCGCTCGCTGCCCAGGCTGGCAGGGCTGCCCGCGGGCAGGGGACCGGGGCGGCTCACCGCAGCCCTGCGGGACATGGCTCCTTTGAAACGGGACATCGCTGTGACCGTCGGTTACCCGAGAGTGCCTGCGAGCATGAGAGTCACGGTGCTGGCCTTCCCTACATAAATAATTTTGCTTAAACAAATAGCATCTAGTTCATTGTACTCGGTATGGGAAATATCTTGAATAAGGCAAATACTGAGGTTATCAGAGAGATATGTCTTATCTAAGGCAAATGGCAATTTTTAGGGGGTCATCACTGTTGACTGATTAAACATAATCCTGATGGGATGTCTGGCATGTACTTATCCATAGAAATGCCTCACTTTTTCTGGGTAGCCTTTGAGAGCAAACGCCCGTCCTGGTCTCTTGCCCAGCTTCTATTTCCCATGCAATTACCTGTTATCTCAAACCAAGTGTACAACAAAGGAGGAGAACCGACAAGAACTTTGCAAAATGGGGTGCTGAACCACAGCTAGGCCTCCAAGGATTACAGCAACACAAATAAGAAGTGTGTGTAGCCAAATGTACTCAATATCTCACCATCCTGGCAATTCTCCATCTCCTCTCCACAGCAGCTTTTCACCGCACCATGTTGCTGTGTCTCATCTGAGATGTAACTCACACTAAAGGTAGAAAATCTTTCAAGTTACTTTAACTGAGTCGATGAACAACCATCTCAGGGTCAAGCCATGAAACTGTGATCTCTGAGGATGATCTTTTTTTTCCCCTCTTATTTCTCATGGGCCAGTAAGGAACTGTTCATATCTTTGAAACTATAAATGGGACTGGAAAAAGAAATACTGCACAGGTAAGACAGCAGGACTAAGGATGTCTTTAACTACATCATCACCTCAGTTTTCTTGCCCCATTGCTAACAATTGCTCTTTGCAGTAGCTGAGCGGTTTGCCAGCATTAAGGAGCCCACCAGCATGACGCCCTGAGAGACCTGGTGCCATTAGCTGTTTTTGAAAGCTGGAAAAAGGACAAAGTAGGAGATTAAGGTCGAAATTGCCACCTTCCCAATTACTAGGAGTGCTCAGCTTGAGATTTTTCTGAATGCTCCATCTTTTACAGCATCAAGCAGACTTTGTGGTTTGAATGTAAAGACTTCGCACTGGCTGTGAGAACTCAGACATCTGGAAATCTGAAGTCAAGTATTAATCCAGTGCTTGTACCCTTACATCCCCACTGAAGCCCAGCCAAGTCAATGGATATCTCCCACCTCTCCCCTCTCTTCCCTCCCCCAGTGCATACGTACCTGCATGCCCAGCAGACCCATGAAGGGACAGGAAAAGACAAGAGAGCAAATAATGCAATGATCATTGATGTCCAGGGACTTCACCTTGGCTCCCCACTTCATGTGGAAGGCACTCAGGTGCTATAAAGCATGGTGGCAATGTATCACAGTAAAATAAATGAGTGTCTCATGCTGGGCACATACAAAATGAGGAATACATTAAAAAACTGCATGCAAGTAATTTGCCACATACTTTGTGCAAGTTGCATGATGGGAGGTGCAGGGAAAAAAACGGTTTCTCCAGCCTGGTGTTCAAACACCCTCCTCAGACCATGTCTTCTCCCTTATCTAACTCACCACCTGCTTTCTTTGGCAGACACTGAAAAAGCCCCCCAGAGCCGCAGCGAGCCCCCAGCCCCTCCTGGAGCACCAAGACTGGGAGGCTGGAGGGAAGCAAGAGTCACCCACCTTGTCTTACAATCAACCGAGACTCCAGCTGGCTGGATTCGCCTCGTGTCCAGGAGCAAAAGAGAAGGAAATCGCCTCTGTCACCGCCACTGGGTTTGCCCCTTGCACCCCGCTTGGCACAAGGGACATGGACACCAGGTTGTTCACCATGCCATAGGAATACTGGCCACATGGGAGATATCCCAGCTGCCTGCTGAATAAAGCCTTGGCCAGATGGTACAGGGTCTTGACTGAAACCAGTCTCTGAGTTTAGTTAAGGAGATTGTTTTCAATTAAACGGGCATTTTCTAAGGCGATGAGTAATTTGAAGGTGATTTTTCGCTTTGATGTCTTAGCACGTACTGCAGTTGACTTCTTTAAATCACTGCTTTTTAAACCCCCCGAGGTAAGACTATCCACAGTTTCTTCTCTGCTTTCAGTACTACCAGTCTTTCAGGGTGCCGCGTTATTTTTATCTGATTACTCCTAATTTTACCTGTCCCACCTGTTGAGAATCCCCTGGAGTAACAGCCCTCACATCCTCACCCTTGGCTTTGAAGCGGAAAGGTTCATGATCTGGAAAAGTGGGTAAAGACTTACTTATTGGGAGAAAAAAAGCAGCTCATGCAAGGGAAGCTAGAGATATGCATTTAAAAATCTTAAATACCTGCCATTTTACCTGAGTTGAGATTTTCTGCCACAGGTAATTCGACGTAGTTTAACATAACATTAGGGACCTGACTCCCATTTCATTTACCTCACTCTAAAAAATAGAATAAATCCATTCTAGTCAGAGGAACTAAACCATTTTAAAAGGGATTGGAGGTCACCAGTAGGCGTATGAAATCTAGGCAAATTTACATGATGTAGGAGTCCCCAGCTTTTCAGCCACAGTGTAGCTATTAAGTGAACGATCAGCGGTTCATTATATTAGTGCTGGCATGCAGTACAAGGTAGCAGATGACTGGGTAACACATTTCAAACGATCGCTGTGAATCAGATTTAGCTCACGCTTTCATTGAGGGCTGCTCACCATTATCTCCTGCTGAGATCTTTTCAGGCTTCAGCTCTGGGGCAATGTGCCCCGATACTCTCTCTCCCTATAGATCGACACGTGTAGAGAGAGATGGAGCAGAAGGTCGATGATCTGCACACCTACACCCGGCAGGACCAGACTGGGCACTGCAGAAAGCAGCCCCTGCGTGGACCAGCTGCCTTCAAAGCCCCATTGCAGCACCTCCTACCCAGGGTGGAAACCACTGCCCATCCCTGCGCTCCCCGGACAATTTGTGCTGGGGCAGGACCAATAAATAGATGCTGTTTACATCGCCACTTCCTCGCTCTAAATGGCAGGAGGTTTATGGGGTATATTTTGCTTTCGTGCGCAGCGTTCGTGAGGTGCATCCCACATTTCCTGTTCTTGGTTTTGCCCGTGCATGTACTGATTGTGTGGATACTGCCTTATCTTTATCCCAGCTAAGCTTTTTTATCTGGACTCTGCTGTTTATTGCTTAATACATCCCCATATAGTCATTTGGTGCCTGAACACATGCCCTGTGAAAGGAAGGAAAGAAGTGGAACAGCACTTACAGCAGATTTAGAGACTTATTACAGTAACCAGCAGTTCATGCCAGACACTATACAGCCAAAGCATTGAACAGGATTTCAAAACCTACCAAAGTCCAGAGATTTTTAGTCTGATTTTTTCTATTATTTCTCTACTCCCATTACTGGCTCAAAATAGCACTTTTCAGTGTACAGCCTGGTACCAGTACTACTTTTCCACATGGGTAAAAGAAAGAACCTGAGCACAAGCACACAGGTCTCCAGCAGAGATGAGAATTTGCAGCTCTGTGCCTCCAAACAGCTCCTCGGCAGTGGTGGTGGCTGGACAAAGCGCTCTTCTGAACGCTCGGGGAGGAGGAGCAGCGCCCATGACCCAGCAGTCTGCCTCAGAGAAGAACCGCTAATGGCATTTTTTATCTCTTGGCAAAAGCTGCTGGCGATCGCAATTTCCATTTCCACCCATTCTCACTTCCCATTAGATCAATTTGTCTCCTGCAGCAAAGTAGGAGAATATTTGAGATGCTGGCACACGGTCACGTCAGTGGCCAGCAAAGCCAGCCATGCAATGCAACTTATTTAGAAAGTCATTGCCATGATTTAGAGACATTCTGGTGTTTTCTTTTCTTTTTCCTCATTCCTTCTTCACCCCTCTTTTTTTTGAGGCTGTCTTCATGCCTGGCTTCCACCCAAAGTGACCAGTTCTGCCTGGTGTGTCGCTCAGCCTGAGCCGATGCCTGCACAGCTCCTGGAGCAACAACGTGCCCCGTCTGGGACTGATGGTCAGGTCACAGTGCTCCCTCCACATCCATGGGAAGACTTGGAAATAGCGTAAATGTTGCTGTGTCCAGTATCCAGGTCCAGGAACAGGGCTTACAATCCCAAAGCTGGCACCTGATGTCTCCAAACTGCTTTCTGACCCATCCCAGTTTGTAGACCCTCCCTTCCCAGGAGGTGCCCTGGAGGGAAACCGAGGCCTGCTGGCAACAGGGCTGCGTCGCTCACGCTACAGATCCACATCCATGTTGTTCAGTGGTGAAGTCAGTTGTGCCTGCTCAACGGATGGATGGGATGGTAAGAGTGTGGGAGCATCAGGGATGCCTCCAGGGTCATGAGGACTCTTTATGGTGACACCGTTGTCACTTCTACCGCACTGGATGAGCCCCAGCTGTGGATCTGGCCTCGTACTGTGTTTTCTTGACATCCCAAAAGCGGGGTGCAGAAGACAGCCCTCCTGATGCAGCAGCACTGCTCCTCGCTTTCTTCTCCCCGGAGGGAGGGCGGGCAGACGAGGATCGGGCCCCCTGAGGGAAGCCACGCTGCAGAGCTGGGGCTTGGAGCCCCTCAAAGGGCAGCGATATTGGGGTGTAGGAGCTTCATTCAGTCTGCAGTGAAGACAGAGCCTGTTTGCAAACCTGGATTTCAGCAGGGCTCAAAAATCCCAAAGTAAAGACATCGTGTGATTTAAATAGGGCATGTCTTACTTAAACATTCACTGGGAAAGAGTTTAGCTCTTAATCCTTCCTTCTCGAGCCAGAAGGGAAGGATCAGTCCCCTCTGCTTTCCTCCTATTGTATAGCACCCTCTGAAAGATCGTTAGACCCTTAGTGATGTTTAGATATAACGGTGACAGGCACATCACAAACTCCTTAGAAAAATAAATTTGCTTTGACTGTTGTAAGTTAATTGGGGATTTATTTTCTTTAAAGCCCGAAGCCCCACCTCTGCAGTGTCTGGGTTGGTTTGAATAGGACTCGGAGGCCCAATGTTCAACCTGAGTTTTGAATAGGATCCCACAAAGCATTTGTTTCGTTCAGACCCCGAATGCAATGGCGAGTGCCCAACAAGTGAGTCAGTGAGGTTCTGTGAATCTGTTTATCAGACAGCAACAATCATTTGTGGAAATGTCTTTTGTAGCAACAGAAGAGTCTATTTGATGGTAGCACTGACTAATGTAAATGAGGATTAATTAATGTTTTCCTGCAGTGATGTTGGCACTGATAGCGCCTTATTCATGTAATTTAATTTCTATTGACAGGCTGCTAATGGAAATGGATAGCAATGGGTGTCTCTTCCATCAGGCACGCTCTGCCGCAAAAATAATTCTCTGAACTGGCAGTTGGACTCATTCGTTGCTGAAAACGTGAGGCAGTAAAAGAGGACGAGTCAGAAGTGGGAAACAAAGGGACTTATTGTCTAATTCATAACAGTTATCTCCCAGGTATTTGAACCAGGATAAATTTGGGGGCTCAGGTCTGGTTTGGGCTCAGCTGCCCCTGAAGGCCAGTTTCGATTCAGCCCCAGATCATGGATGTGCAGCCTCACAGTGGGACAGAGCATATTTAAAGTGGTCGGGGGGGTGTGCAGGCAGTCCCATAGCTCAGGGCTTGGGAGGACAGAGGCTCAGCTCCCGACCTCCGCCTCCCTCGCAGCCCAGCACCGCGGCCGGGGGAGGAAGGGTACAGCAGGGTTCATGTGCACTAAGTCAGGTCCTTCCCTCCCCACAGGGAAATCCTGCATGTACAGATGCAGAGCAGTCCCTACTTTGAACAGATCCCCAGGAAAGCCACGGGTGTTATTCTAAAGTAGTAACCAGAAACGACTGCTAGTGTTCAGGGATGGTTTGAGTCCAGCAAAAAACTCAGGTTGGGACCCCCTTATGAACTGAGAAAAATGGGCCAGTTTTCTTCTGATGTTCAACTCCACGCTGTCCACAACTGCTTTCCTTAATGTTTTGAAGTGCAGTTGGGGAATTGCAGTTCATCAGAAATCATGGAAGTAGGAAAGCAGAAAGAAATATTCTGGTGAAAAAAACATATTCCCTCTTACCTAGCTAATTCATGTACAAAATCCACATACAAATATTTTTTTCTGTTTAATGTAATTAACTTTGCACATTGCTTACTTCTTGAGCAAAGATACAATTTCTAAGTGTCCTTTTGTCCATGGGAACTCATGGTGAATTTCCAAGGGATCATGATTTTATCCTGTACTGAAGAAGCCCCACGCAAGGCGGACTGAAAGGTCCTCCGAGTGAGGGAGGAATTACCACTCCATCAAAGCCCAACACATGCCGCTGCCCCTCTCCTTGCAGAATGGAATGACAGGAAACCATCTTTCACCACCCCTGCATCTTCAAGCCCCACCAAATGTCTGACACTGAAGAAATTTTACCTGTTGAAGGGCTTTCATATGATCACCCTGAAATACTCAAGGCCACGTTTTGGGTCATACTCCCGCTCATATGACAGTCAGTAGAAAAATACTTCAAAACGTGAAATGTGCCATAATAAGTGGTCATAATAAGTGGTAAGGCTGCCACAAGAGCAACATACCAACCCGCCACAACCAGCCTGGAAACAAGGCTCAGCAGCACCTCTCTGAGAGGCAGGAGCAGCCAAAGCAAGAGCCCCTGGCCCGTAGCTGCCCTACAATTCCGCTTGTCCCCACAAGCAAGGGCCTGCAGCTCTCCCTCTAATCTGATCACCCATTTACATGCTCACCATTAGCATTTGCTTAATCCTCATACCTCCGCTGAACTCCATCCTTGTCCTTTCAAAGGAGAGCAATAACCTCTCCCCTCCGGGGATGCTGCTGCTGCTGTCCCCATTCTCTAACCCAACTGCAGGCTCTAATTTGATGCTTCTGATGGGCTCTGTCCTGATTACAGCAAGACCGAGGAGAGTCTGGCACCTCAGAAAACGAAACCTTTGCCATCTAAAGTCAAGCACCCGGAACCGGAGGACACTGAAGTCGTGAGGGGCTGTGATGTCCAAGCGAACTGCAGCGCTACCCCATACATCGAGGTGTGGGGCTGGGTGAGATCAGCTGTGCCCAGAGCTGCGCCCTGGGTGGTGACAGCAAAGCTGTGGTGGCCCAGCCTGCACAAGCCCTCCCAAGATCCTGGTAGCCGAAACCATTGCTGCAGTAGCAATTTATTTCCCACTGCCTTCTGGGGTATCTCCGTGTTGCTGTGAGCAAGGAGGAGCCCAGCTGTGGGGAGCAGACCCCCTGGTTCCCACCATGGGCACATTCAGACGAGGAGCCAAACCCACTGGAAGTCCCCCAGGAGGGCACCCACGCCTGGCTGGGATACAGTGGTGTTCTCCATCTCTCCTCCTGCTGATGCTGAAACAAAAAAAAACCTGAGGGTGTCGTTAGCCAGATGAGGAGTGGAACCAGCTACCCTGCCTCATGCTCAGGGCACCCCTAAGGAAAACACTCTGCATTTAGAATTAAACAGATGCTGAAAGAGTTGGGGGAACAGGGACAAGAGCACAGGGCTTTCCTCTCCCCGCCATTAGGCAAGGGCAGGGTTGTATGGAGATATAACGACCTTCATCAGACAAGCTCACGTGGTTAGAGAAAACAGGCAGGTTTCCAGGTCTAAAAGCCCTTCTTTGGGTTTGAAAGAGAAGCAGCAGTTTCAGTCTAGGGATATCTGAGCACAATTTCCTGAGTTTAATTTTGTTAATTACTTAAGGTAAGTGAAAAGAAGGGTTAGCACCTGCACAGACAAGAGGACTATTAGCAAAGTGATAAGGTTAGGAAAAAAAAGAGCAAGAATTACCGCCTAAGGAAGGGAGAGAGGTTAGTTCAAGGTAAGACCTGAGGAAAAGTGTTAATAAAAGACTGTGGAGTCCTTGGATTTTGCAGTCAGCAGAGCTATGGAGACCCGTTTCCAGGCTCACCTTTGTCACGGAGGTATTTCTGCCCCTTGCCCTCCCTTCCTACAAGCACCTGCCTGCACAAAGTCCTAAGCATCCCATCTGTGACCGGACAGCTATTGTGCTCCCCTAAAAGGTGAAGGGATGGGGCTTGGACCTGTCCCTCTTTCTTACAGAAATGCTGTAATTAGGTGATGGTATGGAAAGTGGCTCCAGCCCACCTCCCTTCCCCTCCCTGCCTAGGGCAGGGACCTGAGCAGCAGCCCTGGCCCCTTTTAATGGGGATGCCAGATGGGCTTTATGCAATATGGCTTCTCTTTCCTTTTTCAGCATCTTACAGCCGCGGCTGCTGTCTGGATCGGGCCCCTCATTGCCGACAACATCCTAAACCTCAGTGGGGCTCAGGCAGCAGGTAGGCAGGGGCAAGCAGGAATTCCCACCCAGATCGCAGGCTTGTAGGGGACGTGTGGGACAGCGGGCAACGTCTTCGGGTGCTGGACAGAAACTGCAGCTGCATGCCCTGAGATGCTTGATGCTCAATGCTCGATGCTCCCAGTTTGTGCTCTGGCCGTGCCTGCACATGCCCCTTCTGCGGGGATTTGGCCGTGCTGGGGACTCATTAGCTGATTTTACAGGGCTGCCCTGAGGCTTTGCTGCCAGGGTGCATGCATGGACAGTTTGCTCTCAGTGCGCAGCACCCATGGGACACCACAGCTTGGAGAAATTGTGCCAAGGCTGAGCATCGACCTGCTCCCGCCTGAGCCATGGTGGGTGCCCAGCAGCACCCCTGTGTAGGTCTTGAAAGCCATTGCCCTGACAGAGGCACTGCTAAGGTGGTTGGGCAGCTCTGGGGTGGGCGGGAGACATTCAACCTTGTGTGCTTTCTCCTATTTTTATCACCTATATCCTTTGCTGAACACAGCTTACAGCAGCCCCACACTAGGTTATGGCCTGCTGGAAGCACAGGGTTGCACAGAGGCTGGCAAATGCTGCATTGCTGGAACTGAAACAGTTGCACAGATGACGGGAGGTGTTTTGTGAAAATCACTTTTGCACTGTTATGTGAGTCTGCATTTTGGGCATTGACAAGCACCTTAGAAACCACTTCCATACATTTGATCCCTGAGAGGCTGAGCGCTGAGCTTCTATCTGCAAGCTTGCTTATTTTCTGCTGGAGTACCAATAATTTCTTTTTTTTTTCCCCCATGCATTTGCTGCTTGCTAAGCCCATGAACTGACCTCTGTGGACACGACCACTTAGATTATCTGTTGCAGAGATGTGACCAGCAGGACTCACTTTCTGCTGGATCCATCAAGACCACCTAGCAGTGTCTGACGAGCATGCTTGCTGATCTTCCTATAATAATACCATGTCATCCTACCTCTTCAACACTCCTACCCCACGCAGGCTTTCCGTATCTGTTTCATTTACAGAACACAGTAATTATCTGTTTTACACATGAAGATACTAGCGGCAGCCCAGCATTGTTCAGCTCAGGGTGTTTCGCTGCAGGTTGTAGTCTACTCTCGCAGCCCGAGAGGTAAACAAACAGCCTATTTAATAAGTACCAAATTCTGTCAATGCCGGTAGTTGCTATGGTGAGAATTCCCGGCGCGGTGCTGCAGCCCTTGGTCACTCCAGGCAGACAAACGTGGGCGTTTCGGATCACAACACTCTGTTTACCAAGGTAGGTCTGAAATGCATCGGAGGGCAGGGGCGGAGGTTGCTGGAACGGGGAGCCTGCTAAGGAAACTGCCAGAAACAAACACTCGCGGATGGGAAGATGAAGGAATAATCAGAAAACCAGCTCAGGTCAGCAGCACTGGATTCAGGACTGGCTGAGAGCTGTTCGGTTTCTGTTGCTTTGGTATTTTTCAGGGCAACCCAGAGTGTGCAGGGATCCAGAGTACAAAATCCCTCAGCATAGAAGCCAGCAAAGGCTCCGACGAGCAGCTGCAGATGGAGAAATATCTGCTCTTCCAGCCCTCGGGGAAGGCTGTGCAGAAGAGATGAGAAGGCTGATTGCACGTTGCTTGATCTGCCTGCTGCATCCTCGCTGCGTGAGGAAGATTGCAGGCTCCAGGGCTGTCAAACCGTCAACTTTCACTTGGTTTGACAACAAACTCACTTCACATATATGGTTACATTTAAAGAAAATAAGAGGAGGAAAAAAAGAAAGCTGTTGGAGCAAGTAATGTCCACAGATGCTTCCTAGAAGTAGAATGTTATTTTGCGATCTGGCACCAACATTTTAGCAGCCTATAAAAGGTAAAGTTGGTACTACAGCCAGCCATTTGTACTGTACAAATAAGAGCTGTGAATATATTCTGGAAGTAATGTCAAAGAGGACCAGATGGGAAATGAGCAGCATTCATTCTAATTTAACAAAGACAGCTAACCCAGAATATGCATTAACATGTAGCATTTTTCATCTGCCTCCATTCAGAACAGATTCTCGGTATCATTTCCAAGCAAAGGAAATTGAAGGAATACTTACTCCTTGGTGAATTACTGTTCTCTCATAATTGGAAAAGTTTGGCATTCGAAGCTAGGTGTAATATGTTTTGCCTGGAAATGTATGCAAGGACACAATACACCCACAAAACCCTGCGTTTGGGCATGCAGCCAGCTCTGTGTGTTTTGGTCCACGCTGGATAGATCCAGGGTTTTGGAGGCCCCGGGCACGTTGCTGGCCTGTAGAGGGAGATTTCATACGGCATGGCAGCGAGGGAAGGCTGCCCAGCCGTACGGTGGGTCCGACACGGGAGCTGGGGGGTCTCTCTCCAGACGGGGTTCAGTTTGCACATTAAAGTAACAGCAGGTCTAATTCCCTGTTTCCTTGCATACATACATCACGGCTGGTGTGCGACGTACGCTTTGGACATACATTTTGAGGGCTGAAACCAAATTCGGAGGCTACCAAATCCTGGATGTACATTTTTAAAATGCAAACTCATTTTTGGCTTTTCAGGACTGCATTGAGTAGGGTGAGCCTGTTTGAGGGGAGGGATCCCAGGGTACAATAAACCGTGGGATTTCTTCATGTGTTTAGTAGAACATCTGATCCTATTTTTAAACAAAGCACCATTTCCATTCCCTCTCTCTTTTTTTTTTCTTAAATATTTAGAAGGGATTAACTACAGAAAACAAGCCACATCCTGAACATTTTTTTGCAGCATGAATTCAATCTTTTTATTCAGAATTGTTCATTACTGGAACCTCTCTCAACTTCCAAGCTCCTTCGTGTAACATTTCTTTTTTTGAAGTCCAGAACTGCCACAGTTCCCCCAACCCCCACCACTCCACCACATTACAAAGCCAAAGTTTTATAACATTCTGTTCAGCGGAGCTCTGCATTTAAAACATACCATTAATTTACGATAGCTGTGCAACTTCAACACACAGTTAACGAACAGGTATCAGCTCCATTCCAGAGCACTCTTCTTCGTCCAGGAGAAATGCAGAGCCACAACCTGTGCCAGGTCCCAGAGCTGCTTCTCTGCCGCTCAGCAGGGTTTTCTCAGGAGGCAGTTTTTAGGCAGCCCCCGAGCCAAATCCTGCCCAGTGAGTGGCCCTTCCTGAACCGAACGTGGGGAGCCCGGCTGCAGAGCCTCTTTTAATAACAGCAGAGTAAAAGCCTGAAAAGCAGTTGAGGTCAGACCGGATCACCATCAGGTTTCCATCTGACCTTGAAAATCTGATCAAAATGCACAGCTCCGACTGTGAGTTGACACTGTACACAAAATGCTTTTTGTGTGACTGAAGCATCTGGTTTAATGGATCCCTTCGGTCCCTTAGCCTTTTCTACGCAGAATCACATTTGGAGCAGCTACGTGTAAGTCCTGGCCAGCGATCTGTGTCTGCAGGGCACAAATCCTCTTTCTGTCTATCATCTCCCTCAATACCACCTACAATACACCCAGCTGGTATGTGAAGAAGCCACTTTTCAGAAGCAGAACGGGATCTCCAACTTTCCAGGCAAAGGCTCTGCCCTTGATCTGCCAGGGACATCTGTTCTGGCCTGGCTCCATGGGAGACCCGGCACACCGGGGACAGACCAAATCCGGCAGCAGTCCCCGGCTAAGGTCTGCAGCCAGCGCCGGATCCGTCCCGGCAGACTCACCCAAATCCCTGCTCCCCCCAGCTCTGGAGTTCTGCCCCGTAGGTCCCTGCACTGCTTCCTACAGGGTCACTGCACTAACATGTACGTGCTGTGTAATTCTCCGTGAATAAGATACGGTGAAGCCTGCTGAAAGAGGTGGCAGCCTGTTTCACGACCTGCTTCGCTGCTGCTTCGCGCGCTAAGCAGGTGCAAAACTGGTTATCGGTGAGCAAAGAGAGGCACGCGCTTTGAGGCTTGCTTGTTCATGGCTTTGAGAGTTTATAAAGAAATACCGAACAATGTGAGACTGCTGCTGTGTGAGTATGCTAGGGATCATCATGGCCGGGAACAAAAACGCAGGCTGGAAAAAAACCTTAACCTGCAATTATGTGCAGTATAGTGCACCAAATCCTCTACGCCCCACAACCTTTTTATTCCCATGCTTTCAGCCTCTGCAAAGCGAAGGTGCAGGTTGTGCCCTATTCATTAGGGCTGGAGTAATGACTTACGATGGCTCCTGAAATCACTACCCTTGCTGGCTAAGGCAAAGCAAGCAGCATGAATCTTTATAGGCAAGAAAGACTAATAATGTCTCTCCCTTCTCCCTGCCTCTAAAATCCTCCCTCACCCCTCCTCTCCTGGAACAAGCACACTTTTTAAAAGGCTTTTAAATAATCTCATGTTCCTTAACAAAATTACAGCAGCAGTTTCCTCCTTTAATAGCGCTCTTCTTCTCAGTAATCTTGTTTTAGCTACAGTTTTTGATGGAGAGTGCTGGTAGATGAATCATCTGTTGCCCCTCTTGGTTATTTTGCCTGGCTCCAGGAAGAAGGAATTCTGTTTCAGGGCAAGGTCTCTTGTTCAGAAGAGGAAGCTCTCATTTATGTCTGCTTTTAACTAAGAGTGATAAAAATTTTATTTGAATGGTTAATCAGGGCATAAACAGATGAATTGTGAATGTGACCCTGATCCAGCACAATGGATGGCATGGTCCTGGCTCTGAGTCACTTATCTCAAATGAATTGAGCTGTCTTCTTCAAGCTAGAGGTCTGCTCCTGCACATCGCTTTCTTGCAGAAAGCGCTAGAAGGCACTGTCTGAAAGAAGGGTCAAACACTGACTGAGATCCAAGTGTTAATGGAGGCAGGGGGCACAAATATTTGAGTTCAAGAGCTCTGATGTGAATGATCACTTCTCTGACAACCTCAGCTATACAGAAGCCCAGAGAGAGAATTTTTTTGAAAGAAATACTATTTTATTTATCAAAATATAAGGGGGTGGAGGTGTCAGCAAGGGAGAAGAAAGATTGC